CCAGGCCAAGGCTGTACTTTCTCAGGGTTGCTCCTTTTGTGCGAACATGCTACAGTGATTTGAGGTGTTTTAGCCTATCATAGCATGGTCTTCCCCGGCAAGAAGTCACTTTGTTTGACGTTGTTGGATGATTCGGTGCTCTCGTTCGGAGCTGCAGCTTTGCTTTCTGAGCGCACTGTGTCCTGAAGACGTACCGTGGATAGAGTACATGGTTGCCGAGGACAGTGCGAAGTTTCCAACCTGGCAGACTTGGTCACGACCTTGGACCTGGGATCCTTTTGCCTCAATTGCAGCTATCGTGCTCTAGAGTGCAGAAGCCACTCTGGATTTGTGGCAGTGGCGCTTGCGGAACTAGTCGGCTTATCTTTAAAAGCTGGCTAGAAAGTCGTCATCGTCAAGCCGCGCGTCTGATCTCCGAATGTAGCATTCTGTCAAGCCCGAATCCAAAATCCCTGCATTGCGACGGCATTCCAACGCAGCTGCGAACTTCAAGGCTATTGCCATCATGCGCGCGGACTTCAAGAATGAGATGCTGCAAAGAAGAATACTCGCACAGGCAGGCTACTCCAGCAATCGCAACTACTGCTTCTGAGTCTGTATTTGCATGCAGACAACACCTGAAGCCTTACACCCAACAACTCAAAATGACAAGAGTTTCCTCTGCCAAAGTTCGGAATTGTCAGGAAGACGGTCGTACCTTGTGATTCTGCAGGTAGACGGAACAAGTGTCTCATAAGCCGTCCAGGAGCGTAGCAATTGAGCATGTCACTTGTCTCCATTCTGACCGTACGCACTCACATCATAGCATATATATAAATATGTGTATATATATATATATATATATATATATATATATATATATATTTATACATATGCTATGATGTGTGTGTGTGTGTGTGTGTGTGTGTATGGGAGTGTCCGAAAAAAGGGGTACCTTATTGTGGGGTCCTTGCAATGATTTAGGGTATTCGTTTAAGGTCCCCTATTATTTGCGAGAATCCTGTATATAAATATACATATTAATATGATTATATAAATGTATATATATAAGCATATATGCTTAGGCCCCCCCGCCATGATCCAGCCGAGCCTTGCTCTATATGTCTGTATATATATATATATATATATATTACCCTCTCCCCCGAAGGCAAACGAAACCCGTCTCAAACGTGCAATAAACGAGTGTGATACATGCTGTCTGCCACTACCACTGCCACTACTCGACTGCTACGGCTACTGCAAATACTATCTGCACGAGCTATTTGTAACGAAACAGAAGCTTGTAAGTGTAGTCGCCCTCGTCGACGACTTTTTCTGTCCACTACTACTGCTACTACTGCTACTACTGCTACTACTACTACTACTACTACTACTACTACTACTACTACTACTACTACCACTACTACTACGACGACGACGACTACTACTACTACAAGGTTGTTGCATGTGTCGCTATGTTTTTCTATAACCCTGTTTGTTGTATACAGTTTATCTAGCGAACAGCTTGTACTAAATCATTAGTTTTCCGCAGATTACTCTTAACATTGTTAGCATGATATTAAGTACACTTCCACAATAAATAATATGAAGATGGTCATATCAAACCACCACACGAGCTACTACTACTATTACTATTACTATTACTACTACTACTACTACTACTACTACTACTACTACTACTACTACTACTACTACTACTACTACTACTACTACTTACTATTACTACTACTACTACTACTACTACTACTACTACTACTACTACTACTACTACCGCTACTGCTACTGCTACTGCTACTGCTACTACTACGACCACCACCACCACCACTACTACTACTACTGCTACTACCACTGCTAGTACTACTAGTACTACTAGTACTACTAGTACTACTAGTACTACTACTACTACTACTACTACTACTACTACTACTACTACTACTACTACTACTACTACTACTACTACTACCAGTACCACTAAAACTACCACTACCACGACCACGACCACGACCACGACCACTACCACCACCACTACTACTACTACTACTACTACTACTACTACTACTACTACCACAACTACTACTACTAGCAACTACTAGTAGTAGTAGTCAACCATTATTAGCATTCGCTAATAGGCTATAAACCTTATCCTGCTTTACCCCTACCATCTTACCATTATGCTGAGAGTCATACTCCTGCTAAAACGCCTAGCTTTTCCATCCTCTCATACGGCAAAACCTCTATTCATGTCTTCTTTTTCTTTAGATGCGATGAAGGAAACAACATTAATACCTCACTCACTTACAGTGTTCTACCTCATTTAACCACAGGTTGCAATATGTAGTGCACACTGGAATCATCAAATATCAGATTCATCACCTCAAACATTACATAAGTAGTTTCTTTACCATCTCTGACTAACAATTTCAGCCGGTACTCGTAGTTACAGTACAGTAGTTGTAACTGTTGTGCAGTTTGTAATGACAACTACCAAATGTAAGCTTGGTAAACTTATAAACGTCAAAGTCAGTCACATATATGCAACATACACTTGCTACACACACGAACGCTACTAGTCTTTCACGACTGGCATGAGTTGACCTCCAGGTGAGCAAACTGCTTCCCCCAATGTACAGCTGCGATTCAAGCTTTCGAGCAGTGGGTCCTCTAGTTGGAATTGCAATGAAGAACACAACCTTCCGGTAATCAAACAAACACATAGGATGCACAAGAAAATCTGCAACCGCGCCTTTTGCGCGGGCGGCGCGCGTGTCGCTCAGCCAAATCACTTTGAAGGCTTCCCACAAGATTGGATTTTTTCGGACAGCACAGCACTTTTGCAAACGCAGACTGGTTTTGTGGGACGGTACAGTCTTTGTAGTTTTCCTGCAAAAGTGTTGTACTATCGTAAGACAAAACAAATCTTCTTGCAACTACATTTTGTAAATACAACCCGTCCCTGCCACCGCCCTATGATTGCATGACGAATCCACATGCACACCACCTGGGCTGCATCTTGTGCTTTTATATCTGGTGGCTCTGCACTCGCAAACACGAGAACGGTCCATCCATTTGGTGTAGCATATTCCTAGTCCGGCAGAGGCACGTGCAAATCTATGCATGTCGAGAAAGGGTAACTGCTCCTGGAAACCCATTCTATGGCTTGATCCAGGCAACCAGACATCTCGCAGAGATCTCGGTCACTGGCGCCATACTCCGAGTAGTAGCATACCCTTGCAATTCTCGGGAAAGATGGGCTTTGTGTCTTCGGTGAGGGCGCGTCATCTTTTCCAAAATGTTGACAACATTGAGAGCTGTAGTGCGACAATATCTTCAGAATATCTCGTCATTCGAGGATGCTGCCACGCAGCTAAGATAGTTGCATACTTGCTAGCTTGGAGGGCACGAGCGGCAGCCCAGAAGTTAAGAAAGCCACGGGAATGAAGACTCTGAAGCGGATATTTTGGCAACCCTTCAATGACTATCGGTGCATACTGCATCTCAGGCAGATCACCATCATGCTAGACGTCTGCTGGCTGCTGTGTGCCATACACATGGCAAGGCACGTGGCCTGCGGCAGCATTTGAGCTATGTTTAGGCTTTGGGAGTCGCGGGTGGCTGCTGCGCGAAATGGTCCTGCATTAAACATGAAAGGCTTTTTGTGTTCAGTAGCATTTCCTTCGGGGGGGTGCCGCCGGACGAACTACAATCGTCAATGCAAAGCGCAAACATCCGCATGCGACCCCAACAAAAACGGGATTACACTCCCAAGCTGCAGGGCATGCGCGGCTCTCGCTGTAGCACAAGTCAGGTTTTTCAATGCATGAATTGCTGTGATGCCCAGAGTGTGTGTGTGTGTGTGGGTGTGTTCACGATAGTCTGCTCTGGCTGCTGCAATTTGGGAGTTTCCGAAAATAGGGGATACCTTATTTCGGAGTCCTTATCATAAGGATCCCACTATTTGGGGTACCATATTAGGGTCCCCTATTTTCGGACACTCCCCTTTAACAATGTGCACAACCAGAAGATGGCGGCATGAAGCTCGCACATTTCTTGAAGGGGGTGCATTAAATAGGTTCTGTGGCCCGCAACTAAAGGGTCCCTGTTCGGCTGGATAAGACTTCAGCTCAAGGAGCTGGATTAGCACAGTGTTTATAATGATCCCCCCCTGGCCATCGTTGTTCTAGCTACAACTGCAGTCAAAGACCGGGTTCTTTTGCCGTGTTGCAGGACATCATCGAGATGAATCATCACATCGCCTTAGCGGCCCAGTTTCTGGAGTTCGAACCAGGGGAAGATGGACATCTACTGGAATAGGTACCAGGCCCAGAATAGACTGTGAAGCTCCCAGTCTAAGCTGACTTCGAAGACTGGCGGCCAAGGTTTGTGATGCCGGGGCCAGTGGACCACGGGAGCACACTGCAGGCTTTGCAAACACCGCTACCGCTTCTGCAGCTGCTTCAAGGCGTGGCCGTGCCGTCCAGGAGGTCAAGACTTCGACCATCCGCGTCAAGGGTTCGGTCAACATGAGCAAGGAGACGGATGGACATCAAGGACCCAAAGTTCGAGTCGCTGATGCAGCCGAAACGGCAGAATGCCTCGTGATCTCACGAGCGCACGCGAAACCGGGGTGCAGAGCTCGAAATCCGTAGGGACAGGTTTGTGCTTTTGTAGTTACGTTCGCTTGACCTGCGGTCTAATTGCATGTGCCAGTGTACGCCGGCACACCAGTTGGTCACGTGAAACCTCTGTGTGCTGAACCTGACTGCGACCCACATTGTGCTTTGCAGTCCCCGGAATCGAAGAAAAGATCAGTGCTGCTGTAGCCTGACGACAACGATCGCAAAGAGTCATCAAGACCAAAACTCATCACCGTCACCACCCGTTCACCTCGCGGACATCTTTATCATTTCCATCATCAGTATCATCGTCGTCCATCGCAGCCGTTGACATCAGCAGTTGCAGTGTCGCCAGGGTGCCTGACATGAAAGCAAGACGGTACAGAGGTACTGACGATCATTTCCTATGATGCCATTTCATGGTTTCCGGCGGCCGCGTCCCGAGCGTGGCTGCTTTCGCCAAGGTTGCAAGGGTGGAAGGTTTAGTACATTTGCATCCTGTAGTGTAAATGTCTTACGTAGTCAGCGTTATCTGTATATATGTACACACGTATACATGTATCTGTGTGTATATATACATATATATATACATATATATATATATATATGTGTGTATATATGCATGCCGCTGTCAACGCGTTTGCCAAACTGTTCTAGTCATGCAGGCACCTAGCATCAGAGCGGGGGGCTGCCTCCTTCGGACTTGTGGGTCCTCTGTATCATCCCTTCGCCAACCAGGTGCAGGAACCCTACGACGAGGAGAGTCTGACCAGATTCATGATGCGACACAGGCGTGGCATCAAGGGAACCGATTTAAAGCCATGGGCCGGAAGAACCAGTTATACTCTTCCCTTACAGTCCCATGTAGCTATGAGGTAACGCAGAATGCCAGAATGCCCATACGCCCTGGTCATGTTAGGGTTATTTGTGGGGAGCTGCGCTGTTTTGCGATCTTGTCCAGGAGGGGCTCCAGCGTCTTCTCGCTCATCATGTGGCTTGGCTCGTCGGGAGTACAGTAATATCGGGGCCTTAATAATGCCCCTGGGTGGGTTCCCGTCAGGATACCAGCAGAATTCCCGTAAGTCGTCCATAAATACAATGGATATTATAGGAGATTAACCATATAGTTGCAGTAATTAATAATACTTCATTGGAATAGGGTTTTGGGGTAGCTGGTGCCATAACCATAATCTTGGTATTTTCTCAGGCCACCGTATCAGCTATGGCTATACCGGAGGGACACTCAGGAGCCCTTAGGCTTGCAATAGCCTATTGTTGGCCCGGATGCTTCTTGTTCAGCCCTTAAACCCTAAATAAACCCTAAATCCTACGAACCAAGAACCTCGTCTGGTTGTGTCCGAGTTGCGAGAGCGTAAACCCTATAGACCATAAAGCCCTAAATATGCGGCCCAAAACCCTAAATCCTACTGTAGAACCACAGAGACTCCGGAGGGGTGATCTTCAAGTCACACTCACCGCCACAGCTCTGAGACGCACATGCCCTGTTGGCACCTGCTCCCCCGGATCTTGAGACAGTTTTTCCCTACTGAGATTAGTGACTGTCATATATAGGGGCCTCAGTATTTCGATCAGGGTTTTGGGGCCCAGTCTACTATACTTACAATAAGGAACCCCCCAGAGAATAGTTTTGTTCATTATAGAGGCCCCTGTATAACATACATACCTGGAGGCTCCATAGTAGTTCCTCTTTGGGGGGTTCATGTTTACAATCCTACAAGGTAGTCCCAAAAAGGAACTACTATGGAGCCTATGGGTAGGCACTTCCCCTGCAGGTTTCCTGTCTACGTTCTCGCCGGGACCTGAGCTTTGGTGCTACAGTGCTTCCGGCAGCGCACTGCATGCAACGCAAAGTAGTACTATATGGGCCTTTATAACTACCTATACTATTTGGGGGTTCCTGATTATGTAATCATGGTATAATATACCCAGAAACCCAATTTTCCAATTAGTAAGACCCCTTTGTTACAGACCCTTCAAGCCTTCGCTGGTTTGGGTTGACTCGAGGCCCAGTTTCCACATTTTTGTTCGCTCCGTTGGTTGCAGAGCCATTGCTGTACAGCTTGATGTCTGCTTGGAAACACAGCTGAAGAGTCTAGGGCTCGCAGGGTCAAGGATTGCGGGGTTAAGCGGTCAAGGTTTAGGGACAGAGGTTTTGAGGTTGAGAGCTCCATGAGTGAGCTCGGCCGTTTTGTCGTCCTTTCAACCAGTACTCACTTTTCGTGTGCTCCCCGCTTCCCAGCTTAGCCAGTCAGGGCTAAAACTCTGTTCGTTGCGAGCAGCAGTGTCGGGCCTGCCAAGCAGCAACCTGCCTGGCATCAAGGAGTCCCCACTGCAAGCTCCGTGAGTGATGGACTCGATGAACTTTTTGAACCTTTTCATTCCTTGAGGTTCAAAGCCGCAAGCCCAGCAGCTGCTGTTTCCGAGGTAGCCATGCAGCACCAGTTTCGCTTTGCCCACACAAACGCGGCGTCCTCAACAACCAGGCAGCACTCAACATTGCAGGATCAGCGGCAAAGAAGTCGATATCAACTCGAAAAGCATCCCAAAAGCATAGCAGGCAGTGCGACAATAGTCTCAGAAAGCACAGCAGTACGAGCAGCACAGCGAGCCAGAGCGACAGCAGCCAGAAATCAACACAACAAAAGCATGAATCGCAGCATGGTGGCATGCGAGAATATGTACTTGACACATGCTGGAGCACCAGCAGTCAATAGCGAGAATCACAGCAAGACGCCACCACATCATGGCACCTCCATTGTCACAGCACAGAAAGTAGGTTCAGGCTTTCGGGTTTGGTGCCGGATTGCTGGTATAGTTGAGTCGAGGCATGTGTCAAGGCACGTGGCCGCAGCCACGGGATCGGGATCCGTGGGTCAGCTAGGGCATGTTCGTGAAGTCTTTGCTGTTTTCCGACATAGGCATTTGGAATCAATTATCTTCAGTGGATGTGTTGCTGATAGAGGCACTCATTCGGGCAAGTTTCCTTCTGTGATCCTTCGTGCGAGGTTCCTAATCTTTGGCAGCTTGGCTTCCTTTCGCAGCTCTTGGAAAGTGCCACGAAGTTAGAGTGTGTCGGTGGTCTACCGTATAGGCTTCCACTCCAGGCTTCTCTCAATGGATGAAGAAAAGCCCAAAGCCAACCCTCAGGTCTTTGGAGCCTTGTGGATTTTCCCTTGAGCGCTGAGGTTTTCTGGCTTGTGCCGTTGGTGATGGTGGGGAGCCTGTCCTCCACCATGGGTCTTTAGAAACTTGAAGTTCGGGTGTGTCAAGTCGTTTGAGTGTCAAGCGGTTTCTGTTTTGTCGCCTGCGGCTTCGCAGTACTGGTCGGTCCGTCATGAGTTGAAGCCGTACAACCAAACGATACCTGACTGCAAGTAAGATGCACTTTACCAGATGACCGAACACTCAAACCTGCCAGCAGCCGGCTTGCATAACATCTACCAGTACCGTCGTTTTCGTCGCCGCCGCCACCACCTCCACCAGCATCATCATCATGATCACCATCACGTCCAGAACTCCAGTATACCAGTAATGCCAGTAGCACTAATCAGAGAAGAAGATGATGGCGCCCGTCGCGATTGGCCCTTCTAGCTCTTGCTGTCGTACGTTGTTTACACTGTCACCCTCTTTCCTGCTTCGACCTTCCGACCGTCCTGCCTGTTGTCGGACGGAAGGTTAGCGGATGTGCGAGGAGAGCAGCTGCTAAGTGTCCCTGTTCCGCACTTCCCCATCCAACCGGGCTCCGAATCCTGAATCTGCATTCCGACTTCTAGATATCCCTTCCGGCTAGATTTCTGCTCTGACCGCCGGGTTCGGCGGTTTGCATGAGTCCGGGGACCTGACCCGGACTCATCTTCAGTTGCAGGAAGCATAGGCGTAGGCTCGTAGATGATCGGAGAAAGGGTGTGGGCTGGAAGCCCGGTTCTTCTCAACCAATAACCCTTACAAGAACCTGCAATGCAGCAAAGCTGTTGGGCCGAAACCAGGTCACTTTCTGGCAGCACTACTGTGGCGAGGAAGGCGTCGCAGGGGTGTCTAGTTGCGACTTCGTTGGCTTCTCAGTCTTTGAGGCTTCCTGATTGTCGAAGGCCATGGCTTTGGGTTTGGGTTCAGGGTGTAGTTGTGCGCATGGATGTGGCTGTTTGTGCCGTGTCTGTGTGTGTGTGTGTGTGCAGGTGTGTCTGTGTGTCTCTGTGTGTCTTTGTGTTTGCCTCTCCAGATGGCAGTGGAAACTAGTTCACCTCTGGACGGAAGATCGCCTGGCAATGCTGAGTCCGTCCGTGTACTGACGAGCTTGCTGAAACAGTCGCAAAAGGTTTGCCGTAGTCCGAGTCGCCGAAGAGACCTTCGCAGTGGTAGAGGTTTGGTTGTGACCGGCCAAGATATCCGAACAGTACTGAGCATTGTCACTGTACCGAATGACGGTGCGGCAAGTAGCACTGGTACTGGAAGTGGCCTCCGAAACTCCACATCAACTGCATGCTCTGCCAGGTAACGTTTGCAACCTGTATCTTTCAGGGTCCTCCAAAATGATGCTGCCAGTAGCTTAGCAATCTCTGGACCACGGATGGGGTTGTTCTGTGCTTTCAGAGCTGTCGCAGCGCTCCTCGATTCTGCTTGCTGGGTATCCTCATGCGGATTGACACTTGTCGGCGACCTTTTGCACAGATAGGGTGTACGCATTTCCCGGCATCCGAGCCCGTCCTAAGGGTCCTCACCAGCCTGGTGAACTCGACGATGGCGTGGACTGCCGAAAGGACTCGTTGACGTGGGCCTGTCGTGTCTCGGGTTCCGATTTGAAGCGATTTCAGTGTCGGATTGCACTGGATATCTTTCATGGGCGACATATACAGGTTGCAAGTGTGAATGTCGCAGCCCATCAGATTGAGAACCATGGGTGACTCGCAATGGTTAGGTTACGTTTTTTTGCCTCCGGGTTTTCGCTTGAGCTATGGTGACTGGGATCTGGGGCGACGAGGACCTACACGATTCGTGAACAGCTCGAAGGTTCTAGAATGGCTTCGGCAAGTCGATGAGTCGTCGTTAGCTCTGCTCCTTAGTACATGTACTGTGTGAGCATGCGTTGGGATGCCGACTACTGTTTCAAAGGAGCACTTGCGAGCAATTTGCCTGGTGTAGTTTTCTGGAGCATCGAGCGACGTTAGATTCGCGTTTCCGTTTCTTGGGAATCCTTTGGGTAAAGACGTCGAGCACCTGGATTTCGTCGACGTCCGAGAGACAGACACCTCCTCCGACTCCCACTCTAACCTGTGCCACTGAAGCTGCCGAAGCCCTGCCAAGCACTCCAGCCCGGTCCTGCAAGATGAAAATAGTCGTAGCCTCTCGGAGGAACAGCCGGGCGAGGTTCCTAGCAGCCAGATCGGTGCAACTCACGCGGGACGCCTACGAGACCTGCTCGTCTTTCTGCATTTCGCTTACTCTTTAGAGTTGATCAGTTGTCAGAAGCCTGCACACTAACGGCATCTCTATTTCTCGAATGCAGGTGTAGAGAAGAGAGGCCTCGAGCTGCCCATTTTCCCTTTTGCAGCTTTGGTCGGAGGGAAGCATGCAGCCCGCAGCGTCGGGCGCTTCGCCAAATTTTGGCGAGCAGGCTTCGCTCATGGAAGAGGAAATAACACTCCCACCGGCAGCATGGAGACCGTCGTGGTGTATCCGCAAGTCTCACAGGTGGATGATTGCAGCAGCGCTTGCCGTTTTTCTGGTGTGCGGTTCTTTGGCTGCGTGGACCCGGTCAGGGACGCAGCCCAGCACTGCTACCGACGATGGAGCTTCCTTTCTTGAGCAAGCTGAAGTTCTGAAGAAAGTAGTTTTGTACCAGAAGGTACGGCTCCTTTCCAACCTTACAGGCGAAGAACTCAAGCGGCACAAGATTGACGTTGTTTCCTTGCCTCCGATCGGGCCACTCTTCGTGCAGCAGAAGGAAACGAGGCTGATTGCCAGACAACTGGGGTACAAAACCTCCTACAACCTCCCAGACAAGACCATCACCATCACCCAGGAGACGAGAAAGGATGTATTCGTTCGTGTCAGCATGTGCATCGCAGATGTCACGCTGGCAGCATTAAAGATGATGTCTGCCCTGCTGTCCCTGGAGGCGTCTATACATGTCTGCAACTTGCACACTCCCGATGCTGCAGATGCAAACTGGGAGAAGGTTTGGACTGGCAACCGCCGGCTCAGAGACGTCGGTCCAGAGACTCGACGTTTGGCTTTCAACGTGCCTCAGTCTTCTGTAAAGGGCCAAAGCGTGCAGGAAGCAAAGATGTCCTGCGCTTCTCAAATCAATGGTATCATCTCTAGCTTTTTGGCTGTAAGCCAGTACGTGTCCGATACCATCACCAGTTGCCCAGCGCCGAACGACATTCCTAGAGGCTCCAACTATCCAGCGAGATGCAGCATGAGCATCAGCGTGCTGACATCTGGCGCAACGAAGTCCGCCTCCGCCCTCAGCGATATAGCTGTGCAGTGCGCAGACCCCACGAACGGTGACATTCCCTACTCCAAGGAGATCGATCCCGATCGGGCACCACAAGTCCTTGCAGCTTGCCTGAACAACATCGGGCAGGCCATTGACTACATCGTCAAGACTGCCTACGAGCTCAATGCTCTCGCAACAGAGCCAGGCCATTGCCCAAAGTTTCCGACAACCTACGAGCGCTATATTTGCACGGAGCACATTGGTTCGTTGCTCGCTGATCTGGGGCAGGTGGCAACATATTTGTCTGCTGCTGCCAGTGGCTGTGGGAAAACCACTTTGGTTCCTATGGCATGTTCATCCCGCATTGCCGCGACGGTCACGGGACTTTTTGACATGGTCCAGGGAATTGGTGGATCACTGGCTTGGTGCAACTACCCAGGATATGTCAAGCAACACGTTGCCCAGGGCGTTCAGGAGTTGAAGCAGCAGGCACACAATGCTAGGATTCAACATACTTTCCACCTACCTTGAGATGCTGTCCATTGCCTCATACGATGTAGTTTAGATTATCCGTTACCACTGTACACGGTCACCAAGACATCTAAAAGCAGCACCCGAATGCCCCGGGGAATGTGACCTCTTGTGTAAAGGAATGCCAGCAGAACAGGGGAACTAACAAGTCCTGTTCGCGGCATCAATCCATCTCTTTCGAGAATTGGAACTGAACATCGGGTTGTCTTTTTCAGAAAGCTACATACAGCTGGTATATTGTAGGGTGTTTGCTCCACATTGGGGGCTTTTTGAACAAGACAACCCTGAGTGCGAGGGTTTTCCATGCATTCTTTTTCCGATTTTGGGATGCGTCACTACGCCGCACAGCATGTGACAGAAAAGTTGGCAAAGTAAGCCTGGGCCTCTTTGTTGTCTTTTGCCTGCCTTGGCACAACGGCTGGCTTGAGGCCACCATTCCGGATGGATCCAAAGTTGGCATCCCCACCCCTCGGGACCAATCATTCAAGGCAGAGGAGGTGGAACTGAGCCCTCACACCACCTGTTTCTGTTTCGGCGTTCGTGCGAGGGGGGGGGGACTGCAAAGGTGGTGGACCGAGGCTCTCATTCTTTGCGTGGCTGCCAGACCTAAATGTTCAGCTTGTCGCAACTGAGACAGTGTAAGGTTTTTCAGAGGAAATGGGGCAGTGCAAGCAAAAGAGCTGCCGACACAAACCAACCTATGTTCCCGCTTTCCATTATTGTCTATGTCCGCCGAGGCGACAGCGCATCGATGCTATCGCGAGCACTCTTATGCCACCCATGGTGGTGGAGGATGTAGCACACGGCAGTAGCCCTGTCAGCATGTCATCCTTTTCATGCCATGCTTAAGCAGAGGGTGCTCAGACTGACAGCAACTGCCTGGTAGGTCACGCCAGTACGCCTCTCACTGCTCGGCTCAAGGCGCAAGCAGTTCGTCTCAGGTACAAGTCAACTTTGGTAGACATGGGAGACTGCTGCGAGATCCACCATGAGGAGCCCAAGCAAAGGGCGCCAAAGCCTAAAGAGGAAACACCGAAGCCCAAGGAGGTGAAGAAGGAGAAGACAGACCAAAGTCGAATCACCGCCCTTACCATGCTTGAGTCCGTGGGTGCAGGTGACTGGACCAAGGCACCTGAAGTGACCCTCATGTTGGAGCAACGCTCAGGGGATCGCGAGGTCTGCCGCTCAGCAGCTAAGGCCGCCGAGCGCATCGCCTGCCAAGAAAAAGGCTTGGATGTTCTCACAGAGCAGGGCGCCATACAACAGCTCCTGCAGGTGTGGTGCGCGCATCGCAATGACACGTCCTTGGCGGTGCATGTTCACAACATTGTGGCCCGCTTCTGGGAGCGTGCTAGTTGCGACAGTCAGTGGATTTGCCTTCCTGCGCAGCAGGCAGCAGGTAAGGCCCTACTCACGTCGGGGCAGAACGAATGGCTGGCAGAAGCGCACAAGGCGGCAGTCAAGCTGCACGAGAAGGGCTTCACCACTGCCGCCATGGAGATGTACCGCCAGTGTATCGAGCAATTCAATAAAGACGTGGGCGAGGACCACCAGTGCACGCTGCAGGCAAAGAACAACTTCGCCGTGCTCCTAGAGGAGTGTCAGCAATTCCAGGAGGCCGAGTCACTTGGCTGCTCAGTCGTTGTTCTCTTTTTGTCACCCGCTTGCATGTCAAAGCCCCCCCAAGCTCGTCGTCAATCACACCCTTGTGTTCAAGGGCTACTCAGCTACTCAGCAGCTCAGGAAGATGCACATCGAGGTCTGCAAGCAGTTCGAGACGAAATTTGGGGCCGAGCACGGGGATGTCACATCTTCCAAGTTCAACCTCGCAGCGCTGCGGGCCAAGATGGGCAACCTCGAGGAAAGCGAGACCATGTACAAGCAGGTGACTAGGCTACAAGGTTTGCGTGTGTAGCTAGATAGACCGTTAGATGGATTGACAGATAGACTCAGATCTATCGATAAATGGTGGCAAGTACTACAGTACTACAGCTCAACTACAATATCTAGTAATATACCGCCATGTATCCTCATGTTGCTTCTGCTTGTTTTACTTGGGTTCTTTTGGGGCTCCGGGTTCAAATTTGCCATTTCCTGAAACCAAAAATGTTCAATACCGGGCCATACAAGTTATTTTTTCACCGTACAAACCTAACAAACTCTAAACCCTACAAGCCCTTTCTAAGCCTATAAACCCTGATTCAGGTGCTCGAGGTGCGCGAGCGCACCCTGGGGCCCCAGCACTCCAATACGCTGCGAGCCAAGGCAAACCTCGCAGATGCCGCTTGTTTCTTACGAAGTATTCCTTGGTGATAAGTATGGTTCTTCGTCTTGTTGTTTTTGTGATTAGGAGTGTGGCGCTGGGTTTTTTGTTGAGGGCCCGGCCCGAAATCATTTCTTGCGTCCCGTCCTGAATAGTGTGCACCCGGCCCCACCCTCGCCGGGGCGTGGGGGTGCCTTAGAGGGAGATAGACTCTTGAGAAGAGTGTTGGGGTGACGCATCGCGGCACTGAAGAGGGAGATTGTTCATAAGAAAAAATAATGATGATATGCTTCGTTGGCAGTCTCAAAACATTGAAAGGCTTTCTGGATCAGGCTGAGGATGTTCCACATCTGGCTGCCATTTGTTTGAGCGTTTCCTGCAACATGACCTTTCGGTGCACAATCTGTTCATGTGAACCGAATACTTTTAATCATAGTCAGCATTAGGATAGTAGTCGTAGTAATATCAGTACAATAAAGAAGCAGTTATAGAATATACTACTCACGTTGAGAAGATGCATCGTGGTAACAATACGGAACCCTTCTTCAGCCTGAGTGGGCCTGAACCCTGCAACCCTAAAAAGCTCTGAAGCCTGCTATAGGGGCTTGAATAGCACATCCCTACATACTCATACGACAATATGCACCAAAACCCTGTTCTAAAAAAGGCCCCTGCACCCAACCCATCATCATTGTAGAAACCCGAGAAGAGCCACTGATTGCCGTATTCAGGCCCTGATTACACCAAGGTCATCCGCCGACAGGGACGTCTGGCCGATTCTGAGCAGATGCTTAAGAACCTGGTGGACCAATGCCACATCTCCTTTGGCCGCGACGATCCTCACACTCTGAAGGACCGGACTCGGGCAAACGAGAAGCGCAAAATCTTCGCTTCGGGTGTCACGCTGCCGAGAACGGTTGTATCAATCAGCAGCTTCCAGACTTCCGAAACAATTGTAATCTAGGCCGAGGCTCACAGCAACAAAGGGAATGGGTGTCGACTTCAGCCCCGCATGAAAGAAGCTCGCCGTCTCCAGGCTCGATGTCAGCTGGCGCACATTTTGGCGCAGCAGGGAGACGAGACGCGCTTCCGCCAGGCAGCTGCAGACAAATGGTACTAGTAAGTACGTACACTTTGAGGGATGACCTTGCATGCAGAATTGCCGTATTCAGCAGAAGAAGCCATTCCATGACGCAGAAAGAAGTCAGCCTCTCCTCGTTGATACCAAATTTTAAGTATATTCGTACAAGTATTTCGTAGCATATTATAGTATATGTTGTACGTAGTATTATATTATACCGTAGCCTGTTATGGCATAACTATTATACTATATTGTCAGCCGAAGGCCGAAGCGCACTTGCGCGAAGTGGTCGCGCGCCGCGAGCAGAAACTTGGACCCAGCCACCCCGACACACTGACAGCCTCCTGGATTCATTAGGGTTTCGGGCGTACTACCGGGGCCTGAATTATTACCTATACTATTTTGGGGTTCTTTATTATACTTAGAGTATCATGGGCGCCAAAACCCTATTATAGTTATTAAGTGCCCTACATATATATATGTATATATGAACTGATCGGGTTTAGGGTTACGGCTATTCCGGGCGAGAGCCTGCTCCAAAAGGGCCCCTGGATTCCAGCCTTTGTTTCAGGGAGGCTTGGGACGAGTGCGTGTTTTCGGTGTCGGTTCCGCGGGCTCTACTTACCGAAGTATAGAAGCTAAGATTGGTTTGATGCGAAGAGTACTCAGAAGCATGTCATGCATCCATCCAGCAGCCAGCCACCCAGCCATACATTCTTGCATGCGGACATACAGTATACATACACACATACGTGCGTACCTACATATGGCCACATATACATGTATGCATACGTATGTATATACATACACACACGTAGAGAGGCATTTTTGCATAGTTTCGGCATGCACCCTGCCTCGCACAGGCGTTTCCCTTTCCTGCATGCCCTGCTTCAAAGAGCACACAAAACATGCGGTTCTCGTGCAAAGCACTACTATCGATTGTATATACCATACAACGCAACATGTGATACAAAGCATGTGTTCAAAGATTTAATAAAGAGTGTATGCTCGTATACCATGTACATGGTATACACTTTAATGCATATCGCTGAAGGTTTAATTCTTTTAGATATACCCCTGATATAGTAAGACGTCACATGTACTGGTGCGTTCGTTTGTCCCGATCGCTGTTGTTCGTTATTCTGAGTACAAAAACGCTCTACATGTGTTACATAAAATGCAGTCGGTAAAAAAAGTATATATATATATATATATATATGTACATGTATATGTATAGACGTCTGTGTGCAGGCAGGTATGTATGTACATACCTATGTGCGTATATATATATATATATATATATACATATGTATCGTTAGGTCCTTTTTGAAGTTGAGGTAAGTCTTTGTTTAGTTTGACATATTAGGTCCTGATATAGGTAGTTCGACAGTTAGGTAGATGTAGCAATATCTAACCCATACCGCCAGCTTTTTTTTGCATATTTAATGTAGAACAAACAGTAAGCCGAATGGAGTCTGAAAGTAGGGAATACCAAGTATACACTTGATTAAAGCATTTCTGCCGAACATCATGTGCCGCACATGCAATACATATCATCAGTGTTGGTATGTGATATTTAATGTCTACTGTATGACATAGTATATTCTGTGTAGTATATACTGCAGTATATAATCTACGTATATGTATACATAAAGAATTTCTTATACAGTACATTTTCACGGCAGACAGACAGTGTGCACACAGTCCCCTTGTATGTCATGCATAACATATAGAACATAAAAAAACGTTAAGATTTAAGTATAGCAACTTAACACTGCGAACGGTGTCTAGTCCCGGAGACCCAGGCCCTCGGACGATTGGCTTTTGTCCTGGAGACGAACAACCCACGTGAGGCAGATCGGGGAGGTTAGGGTTTGTGTGTTAGGGGCTGTTGCACTCATGAGCAATAATGGTTGCTCATCATAGCAGTTGTAATTACATCTGCAATATAGAAGGCGAAATAGCCGCAGCAGCATGGACACCAGGCGATGGACATGTCTCCCACGCTGCGCTACAGACACACACACACACACATCCTCTGAGAATCATTATTTCGTCATGCGCTCAGCTGGCATTCTACTTCGCGCTGCCGGTTCATTCACGTAATTTGCGTAACAAACAGCCCCTGTAGCCTGCCTGTGGCGACACATGATTGGTTTTCCTCTGTCCACAACGAGAGGGATGACAACAACGATCACGACGACCACAAAAGCGGCAGCAGAAGCAACAACAGCAACAACAACCACGACGACAGCGCCATCAACGACACAGCAAAATAAATAGCGAATACCAAACGACAGCAGACGCAGCAGCAGCAACAACAACAACAGCAACAAAGGCAACAACAAGATCAATGACGATACTAATTACGACGGCAACAGCAACATGACAACAGCATCGACAACCACTAACTACCAACCGACAACCCCCAGCCCCCAATCGTCAATCACCAACCACAACCGTGAAAACAAAATTTCATTCACACGCAGCGGGAGGATACTGTCTGAGGTGAAACTTAACGTCCACGCTTTGCGAGGGATCGACCTGCTGCTCTGCTTGCTACTTGCGCGGTCACTTCATGACGAGCCGTGCCTTAACACAGCACTCGCACACGCTCCGCCCCTCAAGGCTGCAAGCAATGAAGTCGGAATCGGACGTGTCGTCAGTGACTCGAGCTGCAGACTCTGGCACTAATGAAGGAGTTAACCGGCTGATTTGCAATGTATCGCTGACTGATTGGCGACGTCCATTTTGCACACTGCTGTCTCGCGAGAGTGTCTAGCCTCGCTGTGAAGGCTCGGTACGAACCACTAGCTCTATGTTATAGTAGAGGCGGTGAGGCAATGAAACACTCAGTAAAGGCAGGCCAGGCGCCATTTCCAGCCCGTTGTTGCTATTTGTAGATGGCGGAGCAACTCCTGCCGGACTTGTGCTGGTGACATGAAGCTCTCCTGTCCCTGGATGGGAGATCGTTGAGGTCACAGCCTTTGGCGGTGGTCCCAGGGGAGAAACTCCTCCCGGGACTCCACCTTTCACTGGCACTCCAGGTGCCTTACCTGGTCCCGGTGTCCGATCTGTGCTAGATCCACTTCCTGACAGGTTAACAGGCATCGGAGGCGGCGGGCCCTTAGGCCCAGCTGCTTTGGGGGCTGCTTTAGGGGCTGCTGTGTCTTCGGAGTCGGACTCCCGAATGGAGTCACTGGCTGGCGGCGACCTGGATAGGTGGGGCCGACGTCGCACTGGAGGAGGGGTTCGGGAGGTCGCTCTGTTGCCACTCTTCTTCGGTGTTTCAGGCATGGCTTCTACAGTCGAGACAGCTGGTGAGTTGAGCCTGTACGAGAAGGCAAGTAGAGCTTCCAGAAAACTTTTGGCTGACAACTCACTTGCAGATCCGGGCCCACGACTTCGCACGGAGCTTCACATGCGACCTCGGGGTATACTTGCTGTCTGGTGATGAAATTGAAGTGACCTTCAGCCTCATAACACAGATTTTTGCGTGAGCAGCTGCATTATCAGTGTGGGGAGGGACTCCACCATTAGGTGAGGGTCCTCACGATCAGAGCGGCCTGTTGTCGCCTCCGTACTTAGTACCTGATTTCAGGCTCTGGTAGTACTCTATGACAGAAGGGGGCACTTCAGAAGGGGTGAGAATGACGCCGTTCTTGCTACGGAAAAATTGCACCCCTACCTGCATGGCTCTGCGTGGATCGACCGCCACCAGCATCGACGAGCTATCTCTGAATCCAGAAACACCAGGTCTCCCATAGTCCCGATCCGAGACGAAGTGAACATGCTGTCGTCCCTCTCTGCCACGTCCGCCTTTGCCGCGGCCCTTGGAAATCTTGTTCTGAGGCAGAAGGCCTCGTTGGCGTATGGAGTCATACAAGGACCAGAATGTGCCATGATACAGCATTCTGGGGAGCATCTCCTCCGTGAGTTCCTCCAACACCTCATTGGAGTCCACATCAG